TCTACTATATTACTTAATATAAAGCTTATTTATTATATAATTAGTTTATATACTTTTACTTTTATTAATAGTAGATTAATAGCTTTATTATAATAAGAATTTTAAGTCTTTATATAAATAGCTACTAACTTAAACTATATTTAGAATTTAGTAATTAATATTCTTATCCTTTATAATATTAGTATAGAGTCGTCTTCTATAATAGCTCTACTTATCAGTAACTCGCTATTAAAGCTCTATCTTTCTACTCTTAGTTAGTCGAAAATTATTATATTTTTATAAAAGTATAAAAAAGATAGCTATATATAAATAGAATTATATTATACGCTTTCTTTCTATTAATATTCGGATCTTAAATATAATAGATCTTCTTGATTAAGCTATTAATTTAATTAGATACCTACTTTAGCAACTTTTCTTCTTTATATCTATTCTACTAGATATTCTAATCTCTCTCTAGATCTAAATCTTATTTCTTTCTCTCTTTTTATATATTAACCGACACTATATCTTTATAGTTACTATAGTTCTACTCCGCTAGTCTATTTATTCTTAAAACCTAACTACTTTTATTTAAAGTATTTCTATTTACAGATTAATTAATCTATCGGGCCCTACGAGTATATTTCCCGATATCTAAATCTACTATATACCTCGCGTAGTGAGTTCGATATCTATTTTCCCCGTATATTTGCCATTCTTCGTCCATTCAGTCTCTCCTATATCTCGTTAGAGCTCATATTCCGTAAATAGGAGATGGTGCTAAGATGGTAACCTACCATGGCGACATATATATACTCGCGGCGTTCCTGCAGATTTATCAGACATGGCGAGGGAATTGAAGCGTATGTAGGGTGTACACTGCTTCCTTGACGACCCTGGAGGAGATGGCGGGGTTGTGTCAGGGATAGTCAATAGAAGAGGCTGATATTTATGAACTTCAGGTATAGAGGACAGGAGTGAAGCCTATCCGCTATCTAGACTACGGCCCTTTGCAAAGCCAATTTACAAATTTATAGTCCGTAGTTGGCCTTTCTGGAGCTAGGAACCGCTCAGTTAATAATTAACAGTTATTTCGCAGGAATCTCCCCTCCTCATCAGTCACCCGTCTACTGAAAGCATCATCACGTTCAGCCATTTTCCTTGGGAGGCACCACAGAACATACCCTAAAACAGTGGGACAGGAGCGCCCAACCTCTCGCTCATTTCTATGCTTTCCCTCTAATCAAAACCAAGTCATTCTCCCGATGGTTACTTGTCTCCCTCGGTCACAGCTAGGTTGATTTAAGAAACTAAACTTGAAGAAAGTGCCGGAGCCAAATGACCTGTTTGCCTGATTCCGCGGCGCGACGTACATTCACAAGTCTAAGTCTACTCGAAATTTGCCAAATAGAAGAATACCACGCTGCAAAGTCCTTGTAAAGGTAAGAGAGAAGTAGACAGATGAATTCCTGCTGGATCTCTTGCGGTGTTTACTGACATCTAAATTGATGCTGTTTTCTGTGACATTTAGCGCAGGCTTCGACCTGCTTGAGGCACATTTTTCCAGCTAAACCCCCAGCAAGCAAACCTCACTGTCCACTCAAATGAGTCTCCATATACTATGCCATCTGGCGCCTGTAACCCATCCATTATCTCATGCACTCTGTTCGTCAAATCCTGTATCTCGTTCCCGGCCAACGGGTCCCAGTAGCCCAGACGCATTTGAGTCTCCATATCAAGTCGGGCGGAAATGACTTCTATCCCAAATGATTTTTTGGTCTCCTTTGGAAGCTGAAATCTGGCGAGTATGCCACAACCTCCAGGCGCAATGGGAGGCTGTTCAGGCGGGATCACCGCCTCGATAGCTTCCACGAATTTATTCGTAAACTCCCCCAAAGCCTCAGAATTGACCGTAGACGGGGGCGAGAGGTTAGGCAAGAGAATATCTACTTTGACATGGCCGGGTGAAAGTGCTTCTCCGCCTTGAGGGACAGCGCACAAGCTCGGGGTGCTGCTGGCACTTGAGAAGGTCGGAGCGGGCCAGGAAGGGGGCCAGGACAGCTCGAAAGTTTGGCTGCCAGGCTTTAGAACCAGTCGTTGACCATTGCAGGCGGCTTGGAAGAAGCTGGCAGTGCTCTTTGGGTTTAACAATACTGAATAACGGATGAAGTTAGTTAGACACATATAGTAGACCAGAATTCCATCATGACTTACTTAGCAGTCCATCTTCTGTTGTTCGAACATCCTCAGTAGGCTGGTTAAAGGAGAGCAAGAGAAAGTTGACTGCAACATCCTTCATACCATGAGCATCTATATTCCATATCTGTGCTGGTTGGCCCGGAAGCCAGACCAAAACACCTTGGCAGGCATCGTGCATCTCGGCCAGGATGAGTAGCGAAGCATTAAACGATTTTTGCTTCTCGGATATTTCTTGTATGAACCAGTCAACCTGGTCTGGGGGGACATGCAACACCACTGAGCCGTTTACCTCTCGCCTAAAGACGTTGAGCCCTGTCATCTTAACCGTCTGGGGATAGGTGGAAGCAAGAATGCTGGTGTCCATGTGCTTTAAGGTTTTAATTTCTCCACGATCACGGTCGACGAACAATGGGAATGGGAACCAGAAAGATATGCCCAGGCGGAGGGAAAGCCGGGTGATACCATGCTGCCTTGCAGCTGCTGCTTCGGCTTCGCTGAAAACCTGACAATGAAAGTGCGGAACTACGCCTTCATCTAATCTGAGGGACTGGAGTCCGGATATTGGGGTGTTGCGAAAGGCTAATACAATGGTGTTCCAGGTTGATCGGCCGAACAGCGGCTTGTGAAGCGTAAGTAACCTCCATCTCCTCAAAAGGAGGCCCTCTTCCTTAGCCCGCTCGTACACGGTATCGCAAATATGTAAAAAGTCCATTGGGAAGGATTCGGGCGACTCATCAGGCCGTTGTAGGATTGACATGATGAGCTCGCCTGCCGCGGCCGCCTTAAGGTCTCTCGTTACAAACGTCCAAACGTAAATATCCATTCGCGGTTCGTTTGTGGGGTGAACTTGGTCAAAAAGGTGATGATAGACGTCGACAGATATTGCGAATCGAGGAGAATGCAGCTTTCGAGGCCAGTCTTGGCTAGCCTGCTTCGACGCCAGCTGCGATTCTCCGTGAATCATGGGTGGCTTCGTCTCGCTCGAAATACTGGTTAAGCTGGCTGTCGATTCAGGTACTGGTTGTTGCGTTGATTTTCGCGCATCAGGATCATGGGATCGTTCTGATAAATTTGGCTGAAGCCGTTCCTTTTGTTGCGTAGGATTTTGGGGCATTTCCGCGCCGAGTCTGTCCTGGACTCTACGAATTGCGTCCATAACTTCAAGCAGTAATTTCTATCAAACTGATATGCCTATTCGTTTCTTATTATCACGATGGTGTTTGGTAACTGGCCCTTAAGAGTTCCATTAGTATAGATCTCATGTTGGGGGACAGGTGGGGTGATGTTACCTATGTATAGCTATATACGCGGTAATCCCTGTGGATGTATCAGCAGCCTCGTTATTCTGGTCTGTGGGTAGCAGTGATACGGGGCTCACATGCTGCATAGCTACCAGGCGCGTCAATATGTTGACTAGCGGACCAGCGATCTCAACTGCAAAGAAGGCAGCATGCTGATCTATACTGTGTTTTCACAGCTCAGCCTCAATGCAGCTGGGCTGATGCTGCATTTATATACGAGATATCAACTTGTACACCAATGTCCAATCACCAGTTATAGGCAAAGTTCCCCTCCCGCGACCCATACTTGCATGCAAAGATCCATGGATCTCAAATCTAATTGAGGCCTGTTCACACTCCCTGTGCCAGGTCTTCAAGCCTCTCCAGGATCTCGCTGATGGCTTTCATGCTGCCTGTTTCATTTTCAGCATCCTGCGAAAGGCAGGTTTGAACAACCTCCCGGTAACGTTTACCCATGAATATTTCTGTTTCATTTGCTAGGGCATATAATGCCTCTGCAACCGCTTCCGGGCCTGGAATGCCTTTCAATTCCGGTCTTTCCTCGAGGGGCCCCCATATACCGAGTTCAAGTAAGATGACACCTAGACTGTAGACATCGTATGCCATGTTGAAACGAACGTGGTCATCGCCCTGCAGCGCAGGATGCAGGTAAAGGGATCGTGCCAGCGGGAGACGGCGCGGCCCGCTAGGAATTGTCTCGCTGTCGTTGTTCCTAGCGACTTCAAAGCCAACCAGGTATGGAGAGCTCAGAGACCACTTGGTAGTGGCTGACGATGAACGGGACCGATCGCAAGTAGTATCTTCTTGGCCACCAGCGCTGGCACTCCGACGCCGTCCCACAAGTAGAACATTTTGCGACGTGATCGCTTTATGGACCCAGCCAATCCCATGAACAAACATCACCGCCGTTGCCAGCCTTTTAGCGAACTCGAGCCGCTCGTTCAGAGTGTACAAAAGCTTTTGGCGCCTCCCCCCAGCGTCTCTCAGCTTTAAAAGGTCTTTAAAAGAGCTGATGGCGCCACTTATTTGCTTCTCTCGTGGCAGAAGGTACATATGGACGAACGAGGGCGCCGGAATAGGGGAGTAGAAGAAGCCGGTGCATTTAAGCAGGCCTGAGACGGTAGAGTCAAGACAGTTGAGAGCGGCCGCAAACTCGCCGGCGCTGGCCTGAGAGCTCGTCCATGCTGCCTCGCTGCAGAAGTTCTGCTGCTGTATGTTGCGAAGCTCGACGAGAACAGTGCTGCCTCTGAATGTTCCAAGGGCAAAACGCTGAGTGTCGTCGGATCTTCCGAATCCAGTTAGCTCCGTCTCCTTCACCTCGAGGTCTTTCCACACAGACATTCGAGCAGCAGCAGCATCAGCAGTGAAACGCTCCAACCTCATCCTCGCGGCCAGTCTTGGAGTGAAGCTCCTGATGTTGCTGTCGTCTCTTTCGACATCGAGATCCATGACGGTGCGGATGTCCTTGGGGAGAGCCACCAGCCGCAGGTCGAATCGCCTCGTCCATTCGAAGAGTTCAGATTCGAGCTCTTTGACCTCACTGCGCCGTAGGATCCATGTGAGCCGGTTCAATTCTTTGGGCCACTTCCCTTGCGCCATCAGCTTGTTCTTACATGTCTCCACACGGTTCAGGAGTGTGGTGAGGTACGAGGTACTTTCCTCGAGGAGTGCTTTGTCTTTGGCGTCGAGCTGCTTATCTTTCAACAGCTGCTTCTCAAAGTGCTCGCAAAAGTGGTGCAAGATCCGGGCATCGTATTGAAACCGGGCTGCGAGAGAGCGAGACTCTATGGGGAACGCAGCGGAAGCGTCGAGGGTCTTATAAATAATCTCACATGCAACGGCGGCAGTATTGAAGATATCCATAATTGAGTACGATTGTACCAGCACAACAAAAACTACGACGACTCTAGCGAATCTAATTCCTGCTGCATCTGCATCGATTATTTCAATCTCAGATTACTCGATGACCCCTGCTCTGCTTGCAGTTCATGAGGCTCGTGTTTACATGCCAGCAAGGCTGTGATGACAAGGTTGTCTGCATGATCCCCCATGTTCCCTCACAATTTAATTATCTGTCTGCCAGAGACGTGGGGCGGAGCTGCAGCTATCTATTCTCGCTTCGCCACCCCAGATCCCTGTCCGCGAGGCTTCCAAATGCAACCCTCTGATCAGTAGGTCGCCTGGAACTACTCGGGCGCCATGGCCTTAGAGAGTGAACGGCGAAGCTAATCTTTGACATGGGTAAGTTCCTTCGGGTATATGATATCGTGTTTTTGGTATATACCACACATCAGATTTCAGGCACAAACCCGCCTTGAATCGTTGCCTTTTCACCATGAGTGATACTCAAAAGGTGGAGCTGCCGTCCTTCGAGTCCAGGAATAGTTACTCGTTCAAAGGATATAGCTTGGACCCCGTAGTCGCCGATTCTCTCTGCTCCGATAGACAGCCAGCCAGCTCGGTGCAAACTCATACTAAAGTGTTCGCAGTGGAAGATTTCTTCGAAGAGTGTCAAGATGTTGGAGCAAGAGTAATCTCCGAATCCGACTTTGAGAAGGGCGCCTTCGTTGGCTCAGGGGCAACTATGCAGGTCTACGAAGGCCGCTGGAAATCTCAGCACAAAAAAGTAGCTTTAAAGTAAGCACGTCTGAAGCGGAATCTTGTTGTAGCTTATTTGAAACGCACGTCGTTGTCTTCAGTTCCCTACACTATCTTAATTCTTGTTGGGATCAGGGTGGCTTACAATCGACATAGATACTTCAAAGCACAGCTTCAGAGCAGGCACGATGAAACAGAGGCGCAATCCGACAACCATCGTCGCCTTATTGAAGCCTGCATGCTGGAACTCAGAGTCTTGACTAATATGCATATTAAGTCACACGAAAACATTGCGAATCTGCTGGGAGTGTCATGGCATCAAACGAGCAACAGTATTAATCCAATCTTGGTCATGGAACTTGCGTGCCCGTCACATCCGACTCTGAAAGAGGTCATTACAACATCGATGGCAAGCGCTGCGAATATCAGGCTCGAACTATTCCGCGACGTTCTAGAGGGCATCTCAGCACTGCACAAAATGACCATAATCCACGGGGATGTGAAACCCGAAAATATCCTTGTTTTCGACTCTACGGCGTCTGCTATTGGGTTCAGTGCTCGAATCTCTGACTTTGGCTTTTGCAGCCCGACGACGCTCTACAAACGGGGAGCCGGTGGTACTCCATATTGGAACGCTCCCGAGTGCATGGCAGACGCGCCTGCTATGTTAAAAGCGGAAGCTATAGGCCCGGCTCGAGATATCTACAGCATGGGCCTTTTAGCAAGTTTTCTACTGACGGGAGACATGCCGTTCGGTTCAAGCGAGATTAAAGACATAGCAAGGCTGAAGTTGGAGGACAAAGTGTCAGGCCATATTTTAGAGAAGCTGAGAGTATGGGCGGTTACAGGTTGGAATGTGCATATGTTACCCAAGGGTCAAAATATCGGTGGCATGAAGAAGACTGACCCTTTTCCAGATTAACGCTCTTGATGCTCCGTGGGAAAAGTCGTTACCGAAATTAGAAATCGGCACAGCTGATAAATTTCTGGTCATCATAAGTCGTATGCTTGCACGACAGGCTAAAGATCGGCCATCTATTAACGACATACGCCAGGTGCTGAAGTAGGTAACTCAAACAAATGCTTACTTTAGGAACTGCTAACCAAACATAGGCTACTAACAAGTCGAAGAAATTCTGCCGCGGGTTTGGATGACGGGTCTTCAGACCATCTCAAATTATTTATAGGCGTAATGTCTCGACGCTTCATTGGGCCAAACGACGGCGTGGGTGAACCGGCCCAGACGTCTGGCTTAAGCAGGTTTCTTCCCCGAGAGTTGCAACAAGCCCTCTATGAGATTCTGAGAAAGCGTGCACGAAGTGGAAATAGAACGGAGAGGGCGAAAGCGGCTAATAGGCTTGGTGTATACTTACTTAACGGCATTGGATCTCTCCAAAATTTCGAGGAGGCTTTTACTTGGTTCTCGGTGGCCGCCAGGTTGGGCTCTATCGAGGCCAAGAAGATGGTATTTCGGATGGAGCGTGCTGCTGACACTCTGCCCAAGATGCCCCGCAAAAGCTTCACTTTTGCCGAGAGATCTGCCTGGATGATTGACCTTATCGCTGCTGAGGTCCAAACAGCGCACGAAGATTCAGACAGAGATTCGGGAAGCGCAAACATAGATGCCTCGACTGAAAGAATTCGCCGGGTACTTTCATCGGCTAATCCGGATCTAATAAGACGCGGGCTTAGTCGTGATATTGAAGATAACGTTGTACGATGCCTCGCTATTCCCTGTCCAACTGGGCCGTTTAAAGCGACTTACGACGACCTTTGCCGCGTTTGCTCTGGTGTTACAGAACTTACACTAGCATTTAATTATGTCCTTCGTGACGACGATGTATCATTGAATCATATTTTGGCTAAATATCCTGTCCCCAAATCCTTCCTTGACCGCCTGGTTACCCTTGCCTCTGATGCCACATGCAATCAAGCACTTAGGACGCTGTGCATAAAGCACGGTGCTGATCCAAACTACATTGACCGCGTGAGTGGGCGGGATAAGCCACCAATCATTACCGCCATGATGACAGAGAGGGTTGGAACAGTTCTTGCTCTGTTAGATTGTGGTGCAGATGCTTGGGATCTGCTCGCAGTATTAAATTTAGTTGTGAAGGGTACTAGTCCTCCGCTTATGGCGGTGCTTTTCGCTCTAATTACTGCTGATTTGCGACATGAAACCCTGGACGGTTTACAGCCCAGCATGAATTCAGAAATCTACCCTCGAGACAAAACACCGCCCGATAATTCAAATCCTCCTCCAATATTTCTCGATATCTCTACCAACCGCTTGGATCGAATCTTCACGTTTCTTCGATTCGGGGCTGACCCTAGAGCTCGATTTAATGGGTGGGAGCCCGTACATCTAGCAGTCAGACTCCTTCATCCGAGTGCTGTTCTGCTCCTTTCCGCGTTTGGCGGCGATCCTAATGCCCGACTTCCAAGTGTCGGTTATATGACGCCTTTGCATGTGCTTAGTCAAGTGCGGCTTCAGGTGGGCGATAGGCCAGGGTTGAACATCGCGTACAAAGACTTTTTGAGAAGGCCGTATATACCGCCGCCCCTTCGCACCGGCGAGAGCGAAGAACTGGTCCATCGGCAGTCACTTGTCGTCTATTTTCTCCTAGAGCTTGGTGCCGATCCTTCCCTTCGTTGTGCCGACGGCTTCACTCCTCTCATGACTTCAATTTTGTCCATTTCTCCTGACGCGAAGTCACTCACTGGTATTTTGCTGCATGCCGGAGTTCCGGTGAGAGATCTGAGCTCCAGAGGCGAAACGGTTTTGCATATATGCGCTGCTGTAAACGACCCCATGCACCTTAAGCAGTTTTTTCTATTTGGAGCGAAGTCAATGATAGACTTAAAAGACAAGTCGGGCTGTACGGCGCTCTTTCTTGCCTGTCTTCAGGAGAGGTCACGGGAAGTCGTCAAGGTTCTCCTAGAAAATTCAGCCAGCTTGCTCATCAGAGGCACAGGGAACCTCAGCCCCTTAGATGCTGCTCTCCTCAGTGGAGACTCCGCGACACTGGAAGAAGTCTGGAGACACCTTTCCATTCTCCCAGTAGAATCCATTGAGAAACTCTGTTCTGGTGTGAGCGATACTGGACGCACCATCTTTCACCACTGTCTCTCTAGTTCAAGAAATTCGGTCTCGATATCCTATCTTCGGCTACTGATTGGCTTGATTCCTAGGGATATTGCCAAAACACTGGCAGAACATGCTGATGACAATGGCTATACGCCATGGCAAGTGGCACTTGCCAAGGAGAACGGCGCAGCATGTGAGATGTTATCTTCTCGTTTTAACATCACCAGCGCGGCAGGAGAGCTCATGCCATGTGACTTCGTACCAACAACAACGCAAGACGTTCTAAACGAACGGGACAGGTCTCTAGCACCATTTGGAGAAGCTGACAGCGATGCAATAAGGGCTAGTTTCGACGACCAGACCTCGAAACGTGACTTGAAACCAGTCGAGGCTTGCTATCAAGTAGAATTGGAAGCAGCGATTCAATCCTTTGGAGAAGAGAGCCGCGAGGCAATTTGGTGTATGGATACCCTTGGCACCGTGTATGAACGATACGGTCGACTCAGCATGGCGCAGGAGGTATACTACCGGGGATGGACAAAGTCTCTTCGATCCTTTGGCCAAACAAGCGTGGTAACACAGGACCTTGCCAGCAAAATCCTCCGCGTATCACGGGATCGAGGCCTCGAAAAAATGAAGATAGCCGACGTAGCGGAGTGGCATTCTCGACACGGAAAAAACAATCTTGCACCCGGCATGATATTAGACGACAACATCCTTGCGCCTCCTAATGAGCTGCCGGCACTGCCGGCCTGTTTTAGACATGGCTGTGGGAAGCCATCAACAGTAACGTGCCCTGGTTAGTTTGAGACTAGTCCTAAATGTAAAAAACGCCCTGATCTAATTTAACGGATTCCAGGATGCAGCCATGCTTGCTATTGTTCCGAATCATGTCAAGTGGAAGATATCATAGACCCACGAGTCCAGCATCTTTCGTATTGCTTCCTAACTGAGTCATTAGAAATGTCGCAATCGATAATTATCCGCGAACTGAACATCCGGGTCCCCCACGTGAAGAAACTTATTGAGGCAAATTGGGCTACTTGTTTTGCAGGCAGCTCACGGCCAAGAATGCCATTACCGAAAGTGAAGCACTTACAAGTGGGCATATTAAGGCTACGCTTCTTTCAAAAACCTATAAGGCTTCCGGTCCTGCCAAATAGCATCATGGTACTCTTGAATCGGTCTCTTTATGAGATGCAGTGCTCGAGACAGGACACTTCATGGTATAGGCCAACGCAGATAATCGCGTATGAGGAGGGTATAGAAGCCATCATCCGCCCTGCAGATGAAGCAGTCCAGGCCGCTCTTCGGAAGGCAGCGGTTTGCGGTGACGACGAAGCCCAAGAGCTGGAGGTCTGGGTAGAAATACAGTTTGATTGTGAGCTTCGGAGATATTTTTGACAGCGTTCTCCCGATTCGCCTTCCCTGGCGCCGTATGCTATTAAGGTGGCCTGAAAGTGAGAATGCGTATGATAAACATCCTTGACATGGCGTGGTGGATGTATTGTATGTAGTACAGAAAGCTCACACCAGTTGCACTGCTGATCCTGCCAGTGCTTGCTCCCCAGATTTACTCAATGTTCACCCGGCTGGCACTACGCATCTTGAAAGGTACAATATCTCGCAGGGTATCAGTATCTCAAAGAGTACCAGTGTCCATTATTCTGCGAAAGCACGAAGCACAAGTGGGCAACATCCTGGGAAGAGCCCTGTTCTGACTTGGAGCCGACCCCAGGAGATCAATCATCAACACACACAAGGAACGCAAAGAGTTATCAGCTCAGCAATTATGCAGATGCGCACAGGCAAGATTGGCCTCCACGCGGCCCTTCACCTCATCAGGCCGACACTGACAGGTGACAATGCAGCTACAGACCGCAGACTGTAGTACGACATATTCTCCTGATGTGCCAAGACTGGATGGAGGAATGACATTCAAATGCGGGCGGGCAAGCCTCCATGCATGCATCTCGAACACATTCTCTGTAGCTCGTGAATGGCGGTTACAAGCAGTAAAGAGAATAATCACGACGGGTCTCCTAAGCCAATTCAGAATGGTCCCGTCTACGGTGCTTCAATATATCTAGTATAATAACTAGTAAATAGAAAAAGAGGAAGGTTAGGAAAGATTTAATAAGATATAATAATCTTCAGCTAACTAAGAGTAGAAATATATAGCTTCAGTAGTAGGTTACTAGTAAGTAGAGCTATTATAGAAGACGTCTCTATACTAATATTATAAAAAATAAGAATATTAATTACTAAGTTCTAAATATAGTTTAAGTTAGTAGCTATTTATATAAAGACTTAAGGTTCTTATTATAATAGAGCTATTAATTTACTATTAATAAAGAGTAAATAGTATATAAAACTAGTTATATAATAAATAAGCTTTATATTAAATAATATAGTAGAACTATAGTTAAATTAATTATAAGTATAAAACTCTTAATTCTATAAAAATAAGTATTTTTATATATATTTCTCTAAAGTTTATCTTCTAGTTCTTCTATTTAACTACTCTTATAGTTCTTCTCTAAAACTATAGTTTATAATTTACTATTAGACTTTTATTATATTTAATAAGTTAGACTATTTAATTATATAATTTTTAATCTTCTATTTTATATTATTATCTAATAAATATAGTATTTAAGTATAAGGATATTATAGACTATTTATAATATAGCCTCAAACTATATACTTATTAGATAAAATAACTAGAATAGAAAAATTTAGTACTAGCTAGCTCGCTAATTTAAATATTTATAAATAGTAAGATAGTAGAGAAAATAAATACTATCTATACTAGTTTAAGTATATTAGATAGTATAGCTAGTATAGCTAGTATAATTAATATATATTATATATATAAAAATACTTATTACCTTAAAATTAAGAGTCTTATACTTATAATTAAACTAGCTATAGTTTTACTATATTACTTAATATAAAATACTATTCTAGTTATCTTATACTATATTTACTAAATACCTCTTTATCTATTAATATAAGTTAACTTTATTTTTACTACTTATAAGGACCTTTAGTTTTTATCTAACTAAAGTACTAACTAAAGCTATATTTAGAATTAAGGAATAGTCTTACTATAGTATTCTTTCTTACCTTAATACTAAGCTATTTTCTATAATAATTTATCTCTAATTTAAGCTTTCCCTAGAACTTTCGTACCTTCTATCCTATAGTAGGTGTGAACCTCTAGTTACCTTTAAGTAATTAAGGAACGCCGTTAGCTTATAATACTTATTAAGCTCTTTCTCGAATAGAGTATCTAATTCGATCTAGCTATTAATATAATAGCGTATATTAATAAGAAGAAATAATACTAAATTATCTCTTTTAAGATTCGGTACTAAGCCGCTATTTTATTTTTACTTAGTCTCGAGAGCCCGATTACGGCGATTTAAAGTCGTCTTTAACTTACTATAACGAATATTAGTCGATTTTTAAACTTGAATAGGCTCTATTATTTTTCTAAAGACTTTCTCTAGCTCTTAATAAAGAGCTATATTTATATAGAGCTTAACTTTAAATATTAACCGGGCTATAATTTATAGCTATAAAAATTACTCTATATCTAAAGTAATATCTATCTAAATATCTAAAGTTAGTAAAACTTATAAAAACTATACTTAAAGTAAAGAAACTAATAGTAAAATTTATAAAATATATTTTTTTATATATATAGCGTATATCTAAATACTTCTAGCACTTACTAGAGCGAGAGCTATTCTTATAAGCCGAAAAGAGATTATCTATATAAGATAGATAGTATTTATAAGGGATTTTTCTATTAATTTATTAGTTTAATTCTAAACGCGAGAATTCTGATAAAAAAATATAAAAAATGAACCGAAAAATACGAAAAAAACTATATATATTATTAGAATATAAAAATAGAGATATTAGAGTATAATCTATAGATAGAATATTCTTACTATAAAGGTGGGCTTCTTTTATAGAGATAAGGGAGGTATTTTAAGGAAAGGTGTAACTTAAGATACTCTATAGATAAGTTAGGGTATAAATAGTACTTATTTACTATAGAAAGAATACCCTAGTATCTAACTTTAAGGTAATAACTCTAAGTCTAGCTTAGTGTATATATACTTTCTAAGGTCCTTATAAGTAATAAAGCTAATATACTAGTTAAGTTTAGTATAAAGGTATTAAGGGATATTAAATAAATAAAGGGAAGTATATATATATTAATTAGTACTATAAAGCTATAGCTTACTATAAAGTTAGCTTTAATCTTAAGTATTAGGGATAGCTCTTAATTAAGGTATAAAATAAATATCTTTATATATATATTCTAAAGGTCTATTTCCTCCTATTTAGTTATAGTCTATAATAGACTATTCTTCTATAGTTTATTTTAGACTATTTAGTTATAGTCTATATTAGACTATTCTAATCTTAGTATTTTAGACTATTCTAATATTATATAATTTATAGGATTCTTCTATACTAGAATCTTATTATCTAATAAATATATTTATCTAGGCTACACCATAGATAGTCTATAATAATTCTAGAGTATTAAATTCGAGTTTAATTATTATCACTTTCCCCCTTAATTATTATATAACCCTTAGTTATCTTATATTTTAGTTATTATATATCTATTTCAGAGGTTAAACTATCGAAGTAAGATAGATATAAGTTAACTAAATATAAATATAAGATATCTTAACCTTACTAGAGGAACTAACCTTATATATAGTAATATATCTTTTTTCTAATCATAATATTCTCTTGGGATTACTAGAATATTTACTATAACTAATAACTAGATAATAGTATTTATTATTAACTAGAAGTTATTCTATTATATTATTCTATTATAAAGTTATAATATTAAGTTAATACTATAATAATATAATAATCTAATAATATAATATCTAATAAAGCTACTATTAGTACTTTTATTATATTTTTAATTTACCCTTATACCCTTACTTCTACTTCTGTAACTAACTGCTTAATACTAGTTATTATACTATTACCTATAATAGATATTAAATAGGACGCTATATAGCTAGCCCTATAACTAAAGACCTTTAGGACTTTATAATATATAGCTCACGACTAATTTAACTATAAGATACTTAACTAAATTTAATTTATTATTACTTAGTAAAAAGAATAAGAATAAATATATCTAGTTATAGCTATAGTACCTATAAATTAGCCGATAGATAGACTATCTTTAAATTAAGTAGTTAAAATATTCTTATTATTAACTAATAATATTACTAAATATCCCACTTATCTAAATTAGAAGTCTATATAAGATAATACCTATTTAGGAAGTTACTATATTAAATCTACTAGACTACTTAGCTAACCCTACTCTTAGTTAATATATCTATCTTATAATATAATATAATAACTAGTCGAATTACTATTAGTATTAAGAATATTATATATTAAATATCTTAATTTAGTAATACTAATACTATCACCTTCTTTTATAGCTTATAAATAGCTACTATCTGAGATACCCTTATTATTATAGATAGAACACTCTCTAAATAACCCTATATAGGACTAATAATTAAAATTTTAAAGCTTAGTTATATTTAAGCTATATTTAATAGGCTTCTAATTACTAAATATTATAGTATTAAATAATACTATAAGCTCTATAGTAGGCTTTACTAAGAATATTTCGTTATTAGCTATTAGTAAAAGTATTACCTAAATATTATAGTATTTGAAATTACTCTAGAACTAGATAGCTTATAATATCTAGAGAATTATAGAGTTTAATTAATACTAAAGAGAGTAAGTAGTAATAGAGCTAAATAGATCTCTATAAGGAGAGTAGATACTAAATAAAATATAATAAAACGACGTCGCCTTATAAACCTCTACCTTAGAGATTTAACTAATATATACTTTTATAAATTAGAAAATAGAAAAGTTAGAATACTTTTATTTAGATATAAAGGATAATACTAATAAATTAGTTATCTAGATTAATTAATATACTTACTATAGAAGTATTTATATTTTTATTAATTAACTTAAGGATATAGTTATTATAAAAGGCAAAGACTTAGTTAAAATTAATATTTAAGCTAGCCTACGAAGGTAGATAATAGAATAATATATAGTTAAATTAACTAATATAGAGAAAAGAGTAATAATTACCTTTACCTTATAAGTAAGGTAGATAGATACTTTAACTAAATACTTTAAATTTAGAGTAGCTAAAGCTCTATTAGTTATAACTAAATTAACCTTTTTAATATTAGATATTTATAATAATAAAGATATTTATACTTATACTTATATTATATTCCGTTATATATAAGTAGCTAATATAGACTCTATATATAATTAACTAACCTAAGCTTAAAATAGTTTAGTAC